TTTATCAATTTGGTCAATACTTGCACTATTCCATATTATACAAACATATTTTAAAATATTGACAGCATTATTATTTTTAATGGATTTTATCTGTTATCATGACATTATATATCTGTCATTTGTCTTACTTATTCTGCAGTGGGTGTGTCATTCTGTCTAGCTGGCATCATTACACACACCACACAATGGCTGCCTTAGAGCCATGTCTAAAATAATTTATCAAGAGATGTCCAAGGGGGATAATTTGAATAGGCAATTATAAAATAATGGATTATTCTGCTGAGTTTAAACATAAGTAATTTTTCCTGAAATAATAAATTAAATACTTAATATTATAAATAGAGATCAATTTTAATTAGTTGTAAGAATTTCTTTCATTTTTTGACAATAGAAATGCTATTAACATTTAGCATGCTGCATTATTTATAAATATTACTTCCTCATTTACTGTATATTGAATCTCCTTAAAATATTGTCTTTTATGTATTAGTTCTATACATTTGAAATAGCAATAGCCAAGCTCTCAATTTCAGTCAAGATTGTTTTAGAAGGATATGACTACACAACCAAGAAATTCAAATTCAGCTTGCATTGGCAAGACTAACATTTTGCTTGGAGAAAATAATCACTCACTAAGTGCTAATTGTTAAAGAAAAACAAAGTTAGATTTACAGAGAAAAAATAAGCAAATTTTAAACAAAATATAAAAATTTTCTGTAGGAAAAACATCTAGGAATATATTTTATAGGGAGAAGAAGGAGAATGTCAAGTTATCTTTTGATTTTGATTAGTAAACATGAGGACCAAAATTAAAATTAGTAAAAAAGCACAATATGCAGTGATGAGATTTTTTAGGGTTTCTATGATGGTACCTAGGTTTCTAGTAAGAAATCTGTTTACTTTTTCTGCTTTTGCCTTTTTTTCATTCTCTTTTTTTTTTTTTGTAAAGATTGGTTATATTGCTGATATTGTTTTTAATAGTGATTTTCTAGGCTTTGCGAGAAGGCATGAATGGTGAAAGCAGCATGCCAAGTTCAATTTATGATTGATTCATTTTTGTTTAATCACGTTAATGCCCTTGGAAAAGGCATGAACCCATCATCTTCTAACTGTGAGTCAAATGACAGGACAGGCTGGGCTCTATTACCTTGAGGTGGCAACCAGTCTAGGAGAAGGAAAACTCTGAATTCAAAACCAGCCTGAAGAAAGATGATCTCTTACCTTAGACACACCCACTGCTGCTATGTGATACCCCTATGAACCTAATGAGTTACATGACTTGTGTAATTGAAATCTTAAAGATTTTGAAATTGAAACATTTTTTTAAGGAACAAAGAGAAAATGAAGATTGGGAAAATGACCAGAAATCATATCTTTTTTTTTTTTCACCCAATCTTCTCCTTAACATTTAGCACACTGCATTATTTATAAATAGTACTTCCCCTTTTACTCTATGTGGTATCCCCTCAAAATATAGTCTTTTATATATTAGCTCTATATATTTAAAATTGCAGTAGTTTGGCCATCAATTTCAGTCAAGATTGTTTTAGGTGTTGCCATAGAAGGATATGACTACACAACCAAGAAATTCAAATTGGCAGGATCAACATTTTGCTTGGTGAAAATAGTCACCTGCAGAGTGCTAAAGGTTAAGCACAGTAACTAATATAAACAGATTACCTTTTTTTTTTCTTTTGGTATAGTGTAATGATATGAAATAAAGTAAAAACTGAAAGTTTTAAACATTTATCTAAAATATTAGGTTGGGGAGATTTGTTATAACAAACTTATCTGGAAAGAAAACTAATTTCAAATTCATACAAAGAGTTTCTCTCTTTCATTTGATATCTTAAAAGTATAAATTATTATAACAGTAAACACACACACACACAAATATGTATGTACTTGTGTCTTGTATGTTTATATTTTGGTCTTTGGTAATATCAATTTTTTTATGCATGCTTGATTAAAAGCATGGTTTTCATATTTTAAGGTTTTATATTGTTCAAATAACCTAAAAATGTTATCGGAAAGGTTGATAAGGTGCTAAAATTAATCTACATTTATTATGCCCTTTAGTCATCTATTGTCTTCTACTTGGCTAAGCAAACAACAATCATATGTCCTGTTCAAGATATGTTTAGCGTTTTACAGGTGGGAAGAGATGGTAGATAATAAGATAGTGTTTTGCTGATCTCCCAGGTTTTCTTGAAAATGTCCTCCCCACATTCAGAATTTCTTTTTCAGCAGTTTCACTTACCCAGGGTCAGTCTCAGAAATAAACAACTGGTAAAGTTTAACTTGGGACAGAATAAAAAAAATATTTCAAAGTCAAAAGGATGCTTTTCTCTTGACACCACAATTAACATATACTCCCTTGGTAATTTTTATTGTTTTAAAAAGCTATTCTTTATGCTAATAAAACCATAGCATATGAAACTGAATTTATAGATTTTTTTTTCTTGAGAAATGGCAACAAAAATGTTAAACACAATTTATTCAATTGTTTATTTACAAGATTAGAAAAGAAAGGTGTGAGAACAATAAAAATATTTTTCTATAAAAGTGTAGACTTTAATTTTTGAATTATAACAAATTATAAAAATATGCTTATAGTCAACTATAAGAATAATTTTATATTTACAAGATCTTAAAAAATATGTGACCAGACTATAATGAAATATTTATGATTATTTACCGTATTATAAAGATGATCTTGTTATGAATTTATTAAAATTGTAAAAATAATAGAAATTACTGAGGGAGTACTGTGCATACTTGAGTATAGTGAGAGTTTTATGATTATTTTTTTTTTTAATGCAAAAAATAGGAGGGGTGCACTATACGCAGGTATTTTTTTTTTTTTTTTTTTTTGAAGAGATTAAAAATCATGCATTTTCAGTGACTAGTTGCATTGTACACAGGTAAATTTTTCCTGACGGGTTTAAAATTCATACAAAAAAATTCAGGTCTTGCACTATCCATCAAGTCGGCTTACATACAAGTATATACAACATTTTTCAAGAGAAAAAGCGTCTTTTCGACTCACCATTTTTTTTTATTTTGGCATAGTCCTAAGTTATTCTTTGATAAACAATTCATATGTTTTACTCAAGAATGACCCAAAATGTAAGAGGAATTATGCTGACAATTTTGATAGGGCAAACAGAAGCCATAAAATTTCTTTAAGTGAAAAGGGTCAAAGTCGTTGATATACATTAGGAAAGAAAACAGTTTATGTAGGAGTTGCTAGAATCTTCACTAAGAACAAATCTTTAATCTATCACATATTACAGTATATTGTTATAACTATTGTGCTTTATTATTAGTTATTGTTCATCTCTTATTGCACCTAATTTATAAATCAAACTAAAACAATATAGACAGTTTTTGGGCATCTGCTGGACTTCCTAGAATGTATCCCTCTATAGATAAGGAGAACTATTATATTTGAAATCCTGGCTTGTGTACCTAGGATTGAACCAACAATTGGTTGATATCAGGGGCAAATACACAATGACTATTGCCACAAAGCAGACTAATAAATGTTTTCTAAGCTTAGCTGAGATTAGCGCACAGTACACTAGGTGAATGGTTTTTACGATGAGCTTGTTGACCATCACATAATGGTAACAACATTAATTAGGTTGCATTATACTAATGGCAAAGAAGAATATCTGACTTGACCAAATTATTAGCTAAACTTGCTTTGTCTTGTGGCACTAATCAAGGATCAAACTTATTGCACTGTATATTGTTCAGTGATTCCCAGTTGATAAGTTTCAACATCTTTAGACACTATATATATATATATATATATATATACACACACACACACACAAAGTGTGTAACAGCAAAATTGTTCAATTGTTAGATTAAGCTTTGAACTGTTGCATCTTAGAAATAATTAAAGATATCTTACTGGAATTCTCTGAAATTTTTGTAAAACTATAAAACTCTACTTTGAACAGTAAGAATGTATTTAGCTCTAAGTTGAAATTGTGATCCCTTTTCCTGTTGTGACTTCCTGATCCAGTTTTCCTTTCTACTGTCCCCTCTTTTTTAAACTTATTCACTGTTCTCTTGATGGTTCTTGAATAGACATTGAAGATGGAAGCCAGAGTATGAATATTGGTACCATTATTGAAGACCTGAATGATCTTTTTTCCTCTCACCGTTGCTCAGTTGGGAAGACATAGTGGGATTGAGAGAAAACGATTTTAACATGTTCTTTTTCTTGCTGAATAACACAAAGAATTTTTCTCTGAATCTTACGACAAATGGTGTCAAGATGGCTAACATGAAAAACTAGAAAAAAAAGAAACTCAATTAGTTTAGTGTTTTTTTTTTAGATATTAAACATTTTGTGGGATGGACAATTATCCCATGCTGTTACATGATTTGAACAATTTTGCTGTTACACCTAGTAGATATATTTTTGGGTGGTGTTCAATGAATTTTCACCAGGAATTGTCTTCATTTTTTAGTATTTTCTTGGTTTCGTTTTTAAATTTTTGTGTCTAAGAACGAAACCCAAAAATTAGAAAAAAAAATGAAGACAATTCCTGATTAAAATTCATCAAACCCTAACCAAAAACTCCCAATTATGGATTACTAACATATATATATATATATATATATATATATAATAAATCAATTATTAATAATAGAGCATTTTTTATTACTTCAAACATTATTTTTAGTGGATAACCATGATTGAAATACATGCCCAATTTTTTTATTTCAAACAGTGTGTATTTCATCTATTGGCCTACCTGTACCCTTGAGAAAACTTAAAGAAAATGTACTCTCTGACAGGATTTGAACCGGTGTCCTCTTTGTAAACATGTCAGAACAAATGGTGGTTTCTCCTACAAAGGAGGATGCAGGTTAAAACACTTCCTGAGAGCACATTTTCTTTATTAAGTTTTCACAAGTGCTCAGGTCAAGAGGCATAAAACACTGTTCAAACTAAAAACAGCATCTATTCCAAACAAGCTTACAGCCACATCACGTTGAAGCATTGGTTTCCATATGATCACCAAAGTTAAGCAATGTCAAGCCTGGTCAGTAGCTAGATGGGTGACTGCTTGGGAATACCTGGTGATTGTAAGCTTGGATGTGTGGGTGGCGTAATGGAATTGTTGATTGGAGAACCGAGTTCCAATTCCAGTTGGGTTCATTATATTCACTTACATGCAACTACCTTGGGAAAGGTATGCATCCACTGGTTCTCCCCTCCAGCTATGGGTTAATTAGTAAGTCTTGTACACTAAACCATTATTATGTTTTAAAAAAAAAATTCTTAGAAGCTAAAATCATTTTCTGGCTTTGAATAAGCTACAAAATGTAGATAAGTCATAGAAAACGAATCGGTCAATATTCCAAACAGGGTACCCATTAAAACTAACATTTGAAGTAATTATATATATAAGTGAATATACATAATATCCAACGTCAATAGCATGAATTAGAGTTTCATGCAAATGTGCAATCCTCAGGTGAGTATGTTTATTTATCATATATATACATACATACATACATACATACATACATACATACATACATAATTATTAAATCGAAAATTATAACATAAATATGTTATAAAATCACTACTATTTTTGTAATGATTTTATAACATATTTATGTTATAATTTTATAATAAATAATTATATTTGCTCTACTCTGTATTGAGCACTCTTTTAAGAATAGTATTTGTTGCTTATTGGAATCTATTCCATATACACCAATCCTATTTTTGTGTGTGTATATATATATATATATATATATATATATATATATATATATATATATATATATAAAAAGAATGTACTTGTAGTATAATGGTTACTGGCATATAAAATGGAATCACCAAGCTGAGTTCAAATTCCAATCAATTCTGTTATGTTCACTTTGAGTTAATGTCCTTAGAAAAGGCATGAATCTATCTTCCCCTGGCTGTGGGTTACATAGGCTCTCTTTCCTTGGGTGTCAAAACTTAGGGAGGAAAAACTGAATTCAAACCTCAGTAGAACTATTTTGAGATTTTCTATCCCAGTGTGCTCTTCTCTTCTGTTCTCAGTTTTGCAAAGTGGGGCGTGTTCTGCATTTACATTCACTATTCTATTTCAATCATCTATATATATATATGTAGTCTATCAGTTCAGTTCTTACATGCTAAATTTGACAAGATAGTCACTCTCTCACTACATACATATATATATATAATATATATATATGTGTGTGTGTGTGTGTGTGTGTAAATATATAGAAAAATAGGAAAGAACTCGTTAGGTAAATAATCCAAAGTTCCTTAGCATTTTGTTTTTATTTTTAAAAAACAGTTATAATACAAAAGTAGAGCCTAAATTATAAAATTATTTTATATATATATATATATATATATATATATATTTTTGGATTTATATATGAGTTTTTGACTCTGGGTTTCACATCACATCAATCCAACCAAATATGTTAGCTCTATTCTGATACCAAAATTTATATAATAAATTATTATATATATAATATATAAATAATTATATATATATATATATGTGTGTGTGTGTGTGTGTGTGTGTGTGTATATATATATATTTTTATATATACACAAACTTTTTATGATATATATATATATATATATATATATATATATATATATATACTAATAAAATTAATGACAAAATTATTATACATATATAATTTTGAAGTAGCATGACATGTTTGAAAAGTCATTCATAACTTCACAAATCCAAAAACTTTGGCTGAAACAATCTGTGTGACATAAATAATATATATATATATATATATAATCAAAGAAAGTAATCAACAAAGTCCATCTAGTTTTTTTTTAGTTAGTTTTGATCACTTCTAAGTTATTTTATGTCAGAATTAACTTTCTAAAGTACATTTATTGTATCAATAGAAGTACTTTCCACTGCCACTATAATCATTATTAGAATTGTGTGTTTACAAAATCCCTTCTTTTCTTATCCTGCTTGATTCAATTTCAAGTCACTTAAGATAACATCATCTACAATGGTCGAACAGAATCTATACATGCATTTCTTTTAAACTGTTTTAAATGAATTTTTTTTTTTTTTTTTTTTTTTTTAATGAATTTTGTAAGCATGATACAATAAATGAATTTTGGAAAGTTAATACTGACAAAACAACTTGGTTGAAAGTTAGAAAAACTAAATTAAAAAAATGGACAGACATATCTTGTTGGTATTATTTAATAAAATTTGTTTGAAACCCAGGGTCACAAACTAATATCCATACAACTGAATATGTTAGCTCTATCACTTATATTGAACACTTTACAGTAAGTACCACCCATATAAAATATACATGAAAAAAATACAATTTTAATGTAGATTATGTTTTATAGGTAAAAGTGCTGAATATCAGGGATCAAGTATATGTAAATATAAAAGAGGACACTGTTTTTTTTGTTTTGTTTTTTTTTTTTTTGTGGATTTTTATCATATGTGCATGTATGTGCATTTGTATTTCACTTTACAGTATTTTAGTTGTGAAACATAAGTAAATTCTTGCATATTTGCAGAAGTGCTTTAGTTTTCAGGGTCCAAACAAGAGACTTTTACTTGTTTTTATTAATAGAAATTCTGCATAACATTTTTAGGCAGATTTTCAATTCTTGGGAGCAACAGTTAAAAAACAATACAGATGTGAATTAATCAGGTGAAAGTAAATATTTTGTACTTTTTCATGTTACTCTTCATTTACTTATTGGTATATGTACAAGCTGGATAATTTCTTCAGTTATCTTGCTTGTTTGTTCTTAAGGGAGACAACTGTACAAAATATGTAAAAAAAAAAAAAAAAAAAATTCACATATAAGTCATATGAGCATTGTCTAAGCATTTATTTGTCACTACTTGACTCTCAGGGCTAAAAACAAAAATTTTCTATAGCTAGCAGTCTGAGGATCCTTCTCCAATCCTAACTCCCCTTTGAACCGATGTCTATGGCTTGTGTGTGTATATAATTTTTTTTTTTTTTTTTTAAATATGATTCCATCACTACATAAGAGTTATCATGTTTCAAAAACAGAAGCTAAAAACTTCAATTTAATTATAAAAATTAAATTGAATTAATGTACCCAGCTCTGTTTCATCCTCAAGCAAATTTTGGAATAACTAATCTTGAATTAAACTGAAGTTTTTAGCTTCTGTTTTTGAAACATAGGATCTCTTATGTAGTGATGGAATCATATTTTTTTTTAAAAAAAAAATTGATAAATTTAGGCTCTACTTGTGTACTAAGCACAGTTTTTGTTTTTTTTGGGTTTTTTTTAAATAAAAACAAAAATACTAAAGAACTTCGGATTATTAACCTAACGGTTCTTTCCTATTTTTCTATATATTTCACACATATATATATATATATATATATATATATATAAATAAATAAATAAATAATATCAATTGGTAGGGATAATTCCAAGGACATTATATATCAAATATTCATCTCTTCAGACTGAAGGCTTTTTAATAAAATATTAAAAAAAAACTTCAGTCTGAAGATATATATATATTATATAAATAAAAACAGAGTGAACATAGAAACTGACACTATATAATGAATGGTAGTTTCATGCCTTAAGCTATCATCAGACCATGTTATCATGTGAAAATGACAGTCACGGTGAAATTTTGATTTCTATGTTCACACTGTCAATATCTATAAATGCTCTATCCCTGATAATGAGCATTCCTCTCATCACATAAACATAACCAATTTTACACACACAAACATACACACACATATATATGTATAAGCAAAGTTTGCATTTCACACAAAAAAAAAAAGGTTGACTTGGGTATTGTTTAAAAATAATACCTTTAAAACCACACAGTCTTAGACAAAGCTTTAATAGTAATAAATCAAAGTAGTTATCTGTCTCTACTCTTTTTCCGAAATAGTGTCTACTCATCAATTTTACTCTCAAGCTCCTGTCAAGTAGATACTATCTCCATGAAACTCAGAGTAAAGACAATTAAGTTCAATATTTACTTTTATTTTTTGTTCTCTCTATCATGTTGGAGGAGAGGTAAAGTTTATAATAAAAATGATGATGTGCTATAGTGTTGTTTTAATGTTTAAATGTGATAGTTTCGATGATTCACTCTGAAACAATAAGGACCATTTCTAATTGGACTGGTAATCTTTGCACCTAGAGATGTAAAAGAACTGAATTCTGCAATGTGATGTCTTTCTTTTTTCTTTTAAAAGTTTGGGAGGTGGTTATGTCAAACTTTAGCAAATATTGAAGCAGATCTCTTTTACAGTTATTAAATTTTCTATCAGTGAAACATACTGCTAAAAAATTGAATGAACCACAAAATCTGGCAAACAATGTCGATTTTTTGGCAACCATGTTGCTGACCATTACTGCTCTAGTGAGATTGATTCTTACTCTGTACCACACTAAGCTTCGCTTAATAAATATCAAAATAATGTCCCAAATTTAGTGACAAGAACCTCACTTCTGACAGATAGTCATTACTCAATCATCATATCCTTTCAGTGTTTATATTTGTGTACGTCTACAATATGTAAGTATTGACTTATGCAATACCATTCCTAAAAAGTTCTGTTGTATATGAAAAATTATTTTAATTACTTTATAACATTGTCCTTTTTATTTACCATATATTGCAAATACATGTTTTAAAAAATTGTTTCTATCACAAATTAAAAAAAAAGGTAATCTGATGAATTTTACAATATAAGGCCTGAAAAATGTTTTATATTAACACACACTCTCACATTCAAGGAGATGTTGAAAAGTTCTTAGCCCAGATAAGAAGCCTTCCCCACAACCTACCCTGCAAATTCTGATGTTTGGTCATTTGAGAATTGGGTCCAGTTAAGAACTTTGTAACACTCCCTTGAATAATATAAAACACAAGTTGATTTTATATAGGTTAAGCAGCATGATTGCTGTATTAGTAATGAGATATTCCTTTATTATACATAAGGCATTATTCAAACATACCACAGCAATTATACATCCAATTAATAGGTAGGGGAGATCATGCTTCTGATATATCGCTTCTATTTATTTTGTTTCACATTAGCTTTCTTTCAATAACTTTTACTTTTAATGACCTAAAAAAAAAGACAAAAAAAACAGAATTGCTTCTTATATGCAACAATAGATTTAATAGTATAAATAAAATCCTAGATTACTCAAGCAGAAAATGTAACCAATGAAATTGTAAAATTATTTAAATATTGAAAATTATATATTAGATATATAACATATGTCTATCATATAGCTATGAAGAAAGATTGCATTAAAGGCATGTGTTGATCTTGTAATTTTGTCGGTGTTGTATGGGCAGTATAAAAAAATAGCATTCAAGGAGTTGTTTTTTTTTTTTTTAAATTGGTTTTACGAGGAAGTTGGTGGTGTTGCACAATAAGCACTGCAATTAGAAATAATAATTATCTTAATTAAATTTTATAAACGTTAATAGATCCAGTTTGTTATGTAAATTGAAAACCAAAACATGTATGCTCATATGATGTGATTTCTAAAAAAAAAAAAAAAATAATAATTTTTTATTTTTTAAATTTGCAGTCTGGAGTGATTAACCAATAGTATTTATATATATATTTATATATATATATATATATATATATATATATATATATATATATATAAAGATTAGGAATTTCAAAATTAAAAAAATTTTTTACATTTTTTTAGAAATCTCATGGTATGAGCATACAGTGGAACCTCAGTTCACCAATTTAGTTTGTTCCTGAAGGGCGTTCGTAAACCAAAACTATTTTTCCAATAGGAATCAATGTAGAGAAAAAAAAGTCACAGTACAATAAAATTGGAAAAGAAAAGTACACCACAACACACGAATGTATACAACACTACGGTCAGCTCAGAAATTATTCTGTTCGCATTAACTTAGTTTGGCTATGTTGTTTAAGAACCAAAATTTTGTCCGAAAACCGAGGCATTTTCATTTCAAATTCTCTGTTCGAAAACAGATTTGTTCAACATACGAGACATTCAAGAACTGGAATTTTAAATTCATGGTCTGGAGTGCTTAATCCATAGTAATATAAAAAAAATTTTGAAAAATATGATTATTTCTCATCGCAGTGCCAGAGATTTTTAATATTTTTTTGTTAACAGAAAAGAAATTTAAAATCTTGTTAACAATAAATTGCAAGTTATAGACAAACACAAGTGAAAATAATAAATATTCTAATCATTGCAAAAACTACTGAAGTGAGCAGTTTCAAATCTTCATCAATGTCTGTATTTAAACCTCAAAAAATGTGCAGGATTAAATAGATACTTTTCTCTTTGGACTTTTGAGGAGGCTATTATAAGTGAACTTGACAGTTTCAGGTGGGAAAACAACATTGGCTTCTCAAGCACATTGTTTTTTTTTTTGTTTTGTTTTGTTTTTTTTAAATAAGCAAAAAAAAAAAAAAAAAATATGACCAAAAAATGCAGTTTGTAAAAGAACAGAAACATTAAATAATGGCACTAATAAAAACAAAAAAATATATTGTCCCAGAGTCATTACTGTAACCATGACATGGACATGTCATTCAAATTTCTTAAAATTATCAATTCAATACTTGGACGCATTGTTATAAATTTTTGGCAAATTCAGTCCCCCTCAAAAAAAAAATAAAAAATAAAATAAAATGGACCAAATCTTTTTTTAATGAAACGTTTTTCTAAAAAAATTAAATAAATGGACTGGTTGCTGAAAATATACCCTATCTGCAGTTCCTACTTTGTTTTTCAAAGTTTAGAAGGCAACTGTACAGCTCCTTTTCTAATCAAACTTTAAAAGGCCTGTATGAATGTTGATGAGTGAGCTTCTGTGTTGGAATGTTGTATAGTGATTGTTGTCTCTAGTACCAAAATAAACATATCTGTGATGCTATGTACACAACTTTACATTTGTCTGTTATTTTTCCATAACTTAGGATCTTTATTCTCTCTCTCTCTCTTCATTTGTTTATTTTTGTATTCAGTTCAATATTCATGTATTCATTAAAAAAAAAAGTGGCTCAGCAAATATACCCTCTCTGGGTCTTATATGCAGAGTTAAAATACACTATAGGCCAAAAGTTTGGGGTCACCAGCTGGATTAAAAAAAAAAAAATCACCTAAAAATTGAAAGTTGCATGTCTTTTTCAAAACAAATATACTAGCTCACTTCAAGCCAGAGAGACTTCATCTTCCTGAAGTGTTTTATCATATAATCAATTATGATAATACTAACAAAATTAAGCCATTCCTTTGAAATTGTAGTTCTTTTAGCCTAATCTACCTTGCTGGTTAATGGTAATCTTAGCTTATGGATTTTAAGTTTTAGGTACTCCCTTTTCTAAAGAAATTGGATACTATGCACTACTGTGTTAAATAGTTTCAGTATCCTAGCTTAGTTTGAGTTAATATAACGAAAGGCAGCATGAACCCTACTAATTATTAAATGCCAAAAGGTCATCCCATATTTTTGGCTTACAGTATATCTGCGAGGCTAATGTTGTCTCAGACAACACAGATTCCCAATACTTGTACTGAGCCCAACTCAAGACATCATTTTCTTTTCTTGATATATTTCATTATTGCATCTATGTATATTTTCACTGTCAATAACTTTTATTGTTTGATTTCCTCATTGACCAGTCTTTTTATCTCTACTTATTTGGATGTGCAGGCGGGGTAATGCATAGCGGTTCAGAATGAGAAATCGGAGAATCAAGTTCATTACCTTCACTTACACGCAAGCACTCTTGGGAAAGGTACAAATCCATCTCTTCACTCACCCAGTTATGGGTTAAATAGTAGAATAGACTGGGCTCTTCAGTCTTCATTGGCAACCACTCTAAGCAAAGGACAACTATGGATTCAAAAACTGTATTTTGCACTGGCAAAGCACATACTATGCAACTCACAAAAGAATTGTGAAGTTGACAATGATTATGATCTCAACTAACGTCAGCCTTCCGTTATATCTACTCGTTTTTATAAAATGTTTTCTGCTCTAGCTTACTAGGCTACTTTTGTTTTCACACATAAATGTCGTCGTCGTCATCATCAGGAGAAGTATAACAATAATAGCTCCTCAGATCAGAGAGATAAAATTGAACTGTTGCTTGATACATTTCCCTGATTTACCCTGCTTGGTCTTGGTCGAACAAATTGGAGAAACATACCAAACAACAGCTCAAATTGTCCCTTTTCTGGTTGGCACGCTCAAGATTATTCCCAGGAATTTTTCTGCCTTTCAAGATGCCTTGAGGATACCTGACATCATTAGGAGTGGCAGCACTAACAGCTCATGTGCTGAAGAATGTGTTTCTAAGATGCAGGTAGGAGCCAAGATATGATTGCCATTGTTTGGCTGAAACATCTAAGTTGGAGAGGATTTCAAATAACAATAATAAAACTATGATGTCCTATTTTAATTGATTCATCTTTGTGAATTAAGGTGCGCTACAGAAAATATTTCATTTTGCTTGTCAGTTGCCTGATCTTAATCTTGTCCCCTAGATGACAACACAATGTACATCTTTGCTCATGAGCAGGAGTAACACCAAGAGAATTGTTTGAAGGATGACACAGACGAGTTCACTTGAGAGTCATAGATACATATATAGGATTATCGTCAATTGGAAATCCTCTGAGCAGACTGGGTTACTTGACCTGAAAGTGTTTCTAACTGGGACCCAAAACCTGTCACCATATCACATACATCTGGCTACAATGCAACTGCCTGGTCTATCTTTATCCAGCAGGATGTCACAATAAGTATATTGGGATTTATATATTTGTACCTGAGCATCACTCTGAGCATGCTGCTTTGTCACTTAGAGCCAGATCACATTGAAACACTGGTTCTTGTATGGTCACTGAAGTTAAGCAATGATGTGTCTGGGCAGAATTTAGATGGCCTACTGCTTGGGAATATGAGGTGCTGTAAGCTTGGATATGCAGATGGTGTAATGTATAATGGCTTTGAGTTATTAAACTTCAGAGAGCTGTTTCAATTTCAGTCAGGTTTGTTATCCACCTCTTATCACCCCAGCTATGAGTTAATTAGTAAGATTTATATCAGTAAATCTTTATTATATTCAAAAAATTCTTACAATGTAAAAATATTTTCCAGCTTCAAATAACCTGCAAAAAGGTTTATAAGACCATAGAAAAACAAATCAATCTGTTACTCAATAATAATAATAATAAAGAAATACAAAAGACTGTTCTCACAAGTACAGCCTACACCTTACAAAGGGCTTTATCTATGTAAAATATATATGTGTGTGTTTTTTTGTTTTTTTTTTAATTGGTCAGTAGAAAATGTCATGATGGGCAGGACCCGGAAAGAAATGTGTACACACCAGAAATCAAAGGAAATAATAATAATAATTAAATAAATAAATAAATAATATACCTAAAAAGTTGGAACAAGTTAGTACTGACAAAACCAGGCATGAATGATTTTTTTTTTATACTAAAGTTCACTCAATAAAAGTCTTGAGAGTCACTCAAGATAGAGGGTTACTGTTAAAATGGTTATGGTTAATAAGGTATGTGATATGAATGAAAAAGGAGATGGTAGGAAGTAAATATAAGGATAAGGAGGATAGATAACAATTAGCCCCTGACTTGTGTTCAGGGAAGCATCCATATGGGAGTTTGTTCCACAAAGTAAGAGTTCTTTGGTAAAAACCTGAGTGGGACTTTCTCCTTACATTTGGAATACGGAGGAAATGAGGGTGATTCAACACCTGAGGAAGTAGCATGGTGTACCCTGGCTGTAAATGAGCTGATGAGGTTAAATTGATAATCTCAGAGAGGGTCTGAGAGCAGCCAAAGTTAGAAGGCTTATGGCCATTTAGTGTTGAAACACCGATTCCCATATGATCTCTGAAGTTAAGCAACATCAAATCTGGTCAGTACCTAGATGGGTGACCACTTGGAAATACCATGTTCTGTAAGCTTGGATGTGTGGGTGGTGTAATGTAAGGAATTGATAAAGAATAGGTTGGGATGATGCTGTTTGATTCACAAGTCAAAAGCATCTGTGGCCTTGTGGATGATGAATTATTTTCCACCCTACAACCCCTTTCCTCAGATATGAAACATTGCAAGCCAATTGCTACTCTATTGTTATATCCATGAAAAATATTCTGACAAGCTGCATTCTTTGGTACAGCCTTTACAACTAGGACCCACTATGCCCTATGCACAGGGATATGCCATCTTTATTTTCTTCATATTCCATTGGTAAGAAGAAAGAGCCATGCAGTCAGCTTCCTCCCAAGAACCACTTTGTGAAAAACTCCCAAGAGGATGCTTCCCTGATCACTACTAAGTAAACCTCTTCAAATGTGGGATCAGCCATTATCTATCCTACATATCCTCATAATCTGCACTTGCTTCCTCCTCTTACATCCATACAACAACCTCATTCAGTAACTCTCTACCTTGAGTGGCTCTTGAGCTTTGTATTGGATTAACATTTAGTAAAAAAAAAAAAAAAAAAAAAAGAAAATATCAGGTACAAGATTAGCTACCATATTAATTTTCCAGCAGGTATGATGAAATTAGACGAAGTTTGTATGTACCGAAGGAATTGCTGGTGAAGAAAATGTCATGTAGCAATGAGACACATAAAAATTGTAAATACAAAGTATTGTTACCCAGACTTTTACAGGAAGGTAGCCTCCTATGCAAAAAGTTGTGTAACCTGTCAGGCAAGGGATAGCGAACAGGGAGCAGCCCCACCCTCGTGTTGACAGATATTCCAGAATACCCAGCTGAGAAAACTAATACAAGTATCTCTGGTTTGTACAACCAAATGACCTGAGGGAATGTCTATATTGTTGACTGCTTGACTAACTGGTCAGAAATTTATCTACTGACAGACAAGAGAGCATTAAAAGTGGTAGGATTGATTCCGATGGAGTTTTTTTCTGAGATATGGGGGTACCCTCCGAAAATGGTTACAGGTATTATCAGAACAATTTCAATGTAATGCTTCATTTACATGAACAAATTGCTGATTATCGACATCAGCAGTGATGTCTTTCCAGATTCCACAAAAAAAAAAAAAAAAAAAAAAAAAAAAATGAATTCCAATGGTACCCTCTCATATTCCCCAGATATAATGCAAAGATTCCTGTGAATATAGTTTTGAAACCAACAACGTGAATGAGGTAATGAAGCAAATGTTAAAACGTCTGAATGTAACTCATACCACTACACCCTCTCCTCATATCACTCAAATTTAATACAAAAATAAAATGCTTTCACTGGTTCTTGGGGGATACTAAGTTGACCAAAAGGACAAGAGCGAGAATTGGGAACTTTTTCTAAGACAGACATGAGCTGCAGTAAAATTCTCAGGGTATAGTATAGGCAAAATGTAACCTGATTACATCTTTTTAATTGGTTTCTCTTAAGGTGGACCAAAAGCAGTAAAGCCACTAAGACACAAGGGGTTACAGGATGTGGAGCAATTAAGGAACAGAAACATTAATAATGAGCAGAAAGAAAAAAGAGTAATCAGTGTCACCCCATGCAAGGCAGTAAAACCACTAAGACCGAAGGAGTTACAGGATGTGGAAGAATTAGGAACAGAAACATTAATAATGAGCAGAAAGAGAAAAGAGTAATCAGGAGGACAGTAGATAGCGATTGGCATTGCATTTAAATTTTTGCAGTTTAATGTTGGCTGAAAAGCATGGAGCCCGAAAGAAGTTCCACAAGTAAGAAGTGCAAGAAAATGCTCTTTGTGCATGATGTGTTACTACAAGTAGACAGTCAAGAAGCCATAACAAGCTTCCAGTGGTCTTCATCTAACAACAACTTTAAATTTCCATTCAGGTCAGAGGTCAAATTAGATGTGTCCCCAAAAGGAGTTATCAGATAAAGGCAGGTGCAAAGTAAAGTTAGAAATGAAGGATCTAGTATATTAAGATGTTTCGAATTAATTGAGTTGTAACAGAGAGGATAAAAAAACAAATGTAAGTAAAATTTTTTAAAATAATATAGATCAAAAATATAATTACCTTCATTTTCAAAGACTGTAGACCAACGATTTTATTTTTAAAAAAATAGTTTTTTCCCTGTCAAAAACTTTGAAAAGGTATTTTCAACTTTTTGATTTTTAAATGTACTCCCATTTATGAAAAGTTCTAGTGACTAAAGCAAACCAAAATCTGTAGGTGCTAAATTTGGTGTGTATGGAGGGTGTGGGAGAACCTCCTGTCCTAATGACCTTATTTGTTTTTTTTTGTTTTTTTTGTGGGGAGGAGTTGTTTTGCAGAGCATGATGTTGCATTTTCATGCTGAGGAATAACAACTGTCCTGTTTCCAAATGCAGGACATTTTGACATGACACTTCATCTACCCAATCAAGTTACTGGTAATAAATATCTGCAATGAAGATCCTTCCTTGTTCCAGTAGTTCATAATGGACGACATCTTTCATATTCCAGCAGAAATGAAGCAAGGACTTTTGTGGCAAGGACATTTTAGGCTTGGTGTTGGCACTGGTTTCACATTTTTTAATAACCACTTTTTCATTTTCGATTGACATGCAAAACCTATTTTTCATCACCTGTAACAATGCAGTACAAAAAAAAAAAATAAAAATAAAAAGTTGGCATTTCTGGTGAAAAAAGAGAAAACTACTGCAAGTGATGAAACGCTGTTTTCCCTCTTTGCAAGTTTTCCCAATTAAAGGGAAAAAAAAAAAGAAATCAACCACCCTGGCATGCAGATCATTGTCCTCATCTTTGTTGTTATCACATTTCAGCAAGTAAGTAATAGCAAAGCTTCAACAGCAGCAGCCTCAGTCAAAAAGAGAATCTCTGGTGATAGAAGTCAATCAGCAGCAGTACTCATCAGCAGGCAGGTTAGATTTAAGGCTCCAAGTTCTTCACTCAGGATTGTTCCAGAGGATAATAACCTGGTAGATTAAAGCATTAGTTGTGAATGTGATGACATAGTAATTGTGAGTTCAATCCCTGAGCCAAGCAGTGTGTACATGGACTCAGTGGAGATGAGACAAATAAAAACAGAGCAGTACTAAATATTAACTAGAAAAGATATCCTTAAACATAGTGGAACAAGAACAATATTAAAATAAATGGTTCAGTTTGAAGTTCCCTAAAGATTACCCATCAAGCACCTGATAAAGGCCAGAAGATACAATGGCCAAAACATTATGATAACAACAAATATGGGGACAATAATCTGCATGTAAATAATTTTTTTTTTAATCATTTCACCCCAAGCAAAGCAATAATGCCACTAAAACACATGGGGTTACTGAGTGTTAGAGAATATGGGAGAAAAAAAAAAGTACTATTAAGGAGTGAGAACAATAAAAGAACAGGAATTAAGAAGACAGAAGATAACGATTGACACTGCATTAACATTTTTGAAAATCAAAGTTGACTGAGAAGCAAGAAGCCAGAAAAGAGTTCCACAAGCGAGAAGTGTGAGAGAAGAAACTATTAGCATAGACCTTACTTGATGCTTGATAAAATCTAAAGAATCTGCACTGTCATCAGTCCTGACATCTCAGCTTCAGTCACTTCCCCACTGTCATAACAGCTTTCCTGTGCCTTTTCTATAAATATTTTCATAGTAATTCTTCCGATTAGCAGGCCTCTTTGGTACTTTACGAATTTAAGCAGAGTACTAGATTGGTAGCTCGATTTCCTCATTTTACAGTTGAAATGGCTTGCTGTAACCAATTCTATGCTAGAAGTTTCTTTTCTTGCACTTCTTGCTTGTGGCAATCTCTTCTGGCTTCTTGCTTTCCAGCCAAATTTGATCTTCAAACATTTAAATGTAATGTCAATTGTTATCTACTGTCTTAATTCTTGTTCTTTTATTGTCCTCCCTTCTTAATAGTGGTTTTCTTTTGCTCACATACTTTCAGACTCCATAACCCTTTATAATTGTTTATTGAAATGGTTAGCAAAACATTGGCTAATTGCCAATTGATTCAAACCTTATAAAATGGTAAATAATAAGGATTTCCTTCATATATTTTAATAAATTAGTAAATGTTTATAAATTTATGAATACAAAATTGTTTTCCTATTTCTTGAGAAATTGGTACATGATAAATATTGCATTACATTACCTTTTAGAATCTTGTCAATATCAAATTATTCTCATAAATAATCTAATAAATAAATAGTGTTTAATATTTTTGTTGTAAATTCTCAAGAATAAAAAAAATGTATAAATTCACTTTCATCATATGTTTAGATTTTATTACAATTCTAATAATCGCTTTTTAAAACAAACATCGCTGAGGAGCAAAGGTAGTTAAAACAATAGCGGTGTTAATGAAAAAAGTGTCCTTTTGACATTCCATTTTCTTTCAGGCACAATGGTCCATGTTTGCCAAGGAAATATTAATATCTCTTCTTCTGGAATGACGTACTTATTTCTCAACACCACAAAAAGTAACAAACAACATTTAGTTCTTTCTACAAAGTTTTATTTATACTTTGAAATCAATGGAAAAGATCAGTTTGTTGTCTCCCCCACCCCCAACATTTGACACTTCACAAAAGACAAAAAAAAAAAAAATGTATTTAATAAAATTAATACATTTATTGACAATCCTTGGTAATCGTTAGAAACTCCATAAAAGTTTTTGAAAAAAAAAAAAAAAAAAAAAAAAAAAATGAAAATCTTCAAGTATCACATTGTAATAAGGAAGGGAGGAATTTGGGATTCATAGAAATAGGTTGAGAACAATGGAATGTACGAAGGAAGACAGAATTTGATCTTCTGAAAAATACCAATTTTTTCTTTTTCTTCAGAGACAGTGAACAAAAGAAGGACTAACAAGAAAATTGAGTTATGTGGGAATTGTCTACTAACAATACTAATATTATTAATTTAAAATAATTTGATTAATTAAATTGGATGTAGTGGAGGTATCACAAGGTTTATAATTCATTCA